CCTTATTATAACCAAACCACACCAATGGGTGTGGTCTCGAGTAAAATCTACCCAGGCATTGCCCGGGCTAGCCCGGGCCTAGATCCACCTATGATCGACCATAATCATTTGCAGTCAAATATAACATGGAATAGCTATTGCAAACTTGTTGAAATTGGCTATAGCTATTGCAGATGCAGAGCTCTACCCCTCAGAAAAAAATTGGGTTTCTACTCAAATGTTTAAACTTTTTATGGTACTTTGAATTTAAGTGTCCTTATACTACCTCTATCCGTAAACTACCTACGTTACTCTATATTTAGCACCAGGAGGTCTATTATTGTTGTTAGCATTATTATTGCCGGTTGTTGTTGCCACTATACATTAATTACATTTGTATACACGGTTGTTCATGTATTTATACCAATTTATGATAAACAGTATACACAATAGTTGAAACTATCTAGACGATTAACAAAGATAATTACAATTAACATCAATTTTTTACATTAATATAAAAATTATTTGACAATGAAAGTTGTTTCACTTCATACTAGACATTAGTGTTGTTTTTGTATGAACATTTGTTTTGGTTATAGTTTTAGTTATAGTTCGAACGGTCACTTTTCTTTTAGTTTAGTATTAGTTTTAGTTTAATTCTTCAATCCTTTTTAGTTTTAGTTTTAGTTTGAAACTTGAATGTTTGAGTTTTAGTTTAGTTTCAGACTTTGATTTTCTTTTAGTTTTAGTTTAGTACAATGTGGTAACCATGCCGGGTAAACCAGGTGCATATAACATATGCATGCATGACCTGTAATTAACTAAAAGATATTTTGGTTTATAACATGTAATTGTATTAGTTATAGTTTTTTTTTGGAAACATCATTGACTTTTGGTTATAGTTTTAGTTTAGTTCTTTTACTCTGTTTAACTTTTAATTTTAGTTGTAGTTTTAGTTTAAACCTCCAATGACGTCTAGTTTTAGTTTTAGTTTACTAAAAGTTAAATGGCTTACTAAAAGTACTTTCAGTTTTAGTTATAGTAAACCAAAACAACACTACTAAACGTGACTATTAACACTACATGATGCTTAACTATTCCAGCACACTTATGATTCTTGGAGTGATTCATACATGTCAATAAAGACTAATCCTGTAGTTTTAAGAAGAGAAAAGATGGTCATAATCATCCACACTCCAGCTGCAACATGACAACTTCAGTGAGTTATTCCACCGTAAGTTGTCCTGATGGACTGAGACTAACTCTGATGATAGACATTAGTCATAGGACTCAGGTAAATACACTTCTGTCTTGATAGCAATGGAGAGGCAAGCGCCCTGGCTCCTGAAAGCAAAATTTTGAAAAACGGCAATTGCCCATGGGCCCGGTGAGAATATTCCTATAATAAAATGCTATAAAAGCCAAAACAGCAACTAATAAGCTTACAAAATAGATAAATAGAGTATATTGAAACAAAAAGACAGCTAAAAGTGGTTCTCAAAGCTAGAGTGGCTGGATAAAAGAGAAGATTGTTTAGCCTGTCTTTCCTCAGTACCAAAGCGTCTAGAGACAGGAATGGATCCAATTAGTTATGTGGGTGGTTTTATATCTGTAATACGCATGCACATTACTCCCTCATGAACAAAAATCACAAAATGGCTGCCACCAACTGAGTGTTTTTCATATTTCTAGTGCTGTCTTCGTGGTTCCAGGCCATTTTGCTAGTTGTTTGCATGAGTTGGATCACTGATTAGACTAATAGAACCTTGCACTAGGTAATTTATTCTCAGACTGCTATAAATTATGCCTTTTTATATACTGTGATAGTCTCGCCCCGCCCCTTCACGAAAGATGGAAGGGTCTGGTGACACTGCTATTGAAATCGTTGCAGTCTGGAATGCAATTAATAGCAAAGAACACATGACTGATACTCCCACGTCATGTGACACACGCGTGTAACCACGTGTTACAATGATCATTATAATAGACGTATGGCCTCTGCTAAGCCTACTTGTATCTGTATTTTGTGCCGTTCTTGTATAAAGCCAGGAGCCAGATGTTATATCAAAGGGAAAGAGGATATAATTACAAATGTCACATCTTTGGTCGAAACATTGCTCATTGACATTAGAGGCTAGCTTGGAACTGAAGAAGATAATTGAAAATGCAGCTGTATGCGGAGGAAAGTGTCTTGGGACGTTGAACAGGCTTGTAAAGTTGCGTAAAGATTTGAAAGAAATGGGTGAATACTAATAGAAGTGAGATGAATACTAATACTGGATCTTTTGGCCTCCATTTTATTACTCTGTCTTGTGACAATCACATGATTTTGGTCACAACACGTGGCTTGAGGAATCTGATTGGGACGCACACATTCCTGCATAGTGTATAAATTTTGAATAGCAGTGTCACCAGACCGTTCCATATTTCGCGAAGGGGCGGGGCGAGACTAATACTGTGACTATTGTAATCATCTATATATATATATAGAATGTATCTTCTAATTATTCTTGTGTGAGGAAATGGGCTTTTTAGTCTTTCCTGGGTTATCATTTGTTCCTTCCACCACAATTACTCATTTCAGAACTGTAAGTAATATGTCTGTCAATTTAAGCCTCATTATGGGGAATATGAGGGATTTAATAGGAGGTTCATCACTCTGAGAATGCACCAGGGTAGGGATTTTTCTCCAACAAGCCTATAGGAAGACTTCGCTAGTTTGACCAAGTTGCGTTTCAAAAATGCTAAGTTTACCCAGCAGAGCTGAGTTCAGTAGCAGTTGAGTGGTTGTTTAACGTTCCTTAAATTTAGTAGGGGATTTGACTGAAGGGAACGGCCCCAGAGGTAGTGATTTAATTAATTAATTAATTTGAAACCCCAACTATGCCCCATTATGACCTGTACTGGGATAGTGGAGCTTGATATTGATAAGTACACGATAAATTTATTGTAAATGTCTGCTATTTTATATATTTATTTTTTATAGGCATTTTATACCTTGCCAGCGAATTGGATCACAAGAGGTTGCTCATGAGTTTTTGCTTACATGTGTAGTAGGAGACTAGGAGCTCAAGTAGGTACAAGGTTGAGCTGTAAGCTGTGTATAATTATAGACTACTAGCAGTAAAAATTGATTACATAGGAAGATTATTAGAAATTTTTACGGTTGTAAGGTGTGGTTTAGGATGAAATAATTCAGCTGCCATTTTGGTTGACAACTTTTAATGGAGAACAAACGGGCTGGCATGAAAACAAACCTGTATTGAGAATTCTGGGGCAAATTGGACCACATCTTTTGGAGAAGCTTAAAGGCAGATCTTTTTTTTATAACAAGCATATTTTAGCTTTTAATAGAGCTACAGCAGGTAAGTGAGGCATTTTCTTCTTGCATTCATTGCCGACTTCCTTAACAAACTTGCCAACAAAAATGGCAGCAAATTATGACATGTGGGCAGATACCGTATATAAAATTAATGAAATTCATTTCCAGTTCTCACTTCCAGTGGTCTATAATTAGTTTTTAAGTCAGTATAATTTTTAAATTCGTAAATTTTTTATTCATGCATTAAATAATGCAAGCAATGACATATTCCACTTTTACAGTACTTCTGACTATTAAAGCCGTTAGTTTTGTAGTTTTGAATTTACATGTATGCTATTTTTATGATAATTAGAATGTCACAAAAAGCTATCAGTATTGTTCATGGTGGTGGACGAAACTCTGGATGCTATATTTGGAGATGTTGGCACTTAATAGAATAATTATTCATGAAACGATTTATTTTATTATGCTACTAATGTTTAGAATTGTACCTAAAAATTTCTTTAATTGTAGCTAGAAATTTCTGTCGCCCAAAATTTCTGTGAATTTGCAGATTTTATTTTAGCAAAATCACCATGCCTTTCAATGTGTACTGATTTTAAAGGATTAAATTTTCACAGTTTTCGAAATCTGCATAATTAGCAGAAATTTTGGGCCACAGAAATATTTAGCTCCATGTGTATGGCATTTGCAATGAAAGGTTTATTTTTAACTTTTTATCTCTGTTAAACAGATAACATTTCCCCAAGACTAGATATATTATCAACTCTTTAATTCCCTTGGCACTACTTAATGTGACACCAGTATATTTCCAGGTCAGTAAAAAATATTATTGCTGTATAAATTTGTTTTCGTTATCTGTAGAATGACATTCCTGTCAAATTATTTTTAGAGATGAAAATAGGCTACAAAGTTCTTTTGTAAACATTAATGCAAAGTACATGTACTTTTTACATTTATTATTAATATTGCTTATTCCTTGTAGACTCAACAGAGTAACCTGAAATCAAATGTGTGGCTAAACAAGCATTTATTCATGTTTGAACTGTTTTTTTACATTTTTGTTTGAGTTATGAACATGATAAATTGAAGTACAATTTAGTCAGTACTGCGCATGCGCAGATTGCACCTAGTCTCACGTAGCCAGACCACACCCTCCGTGCCTACGGGTGAGTCTGGCAAATCATAGATACTACATACACACATGGATATGAAACAGGATGCGCTCGATCCTTGGCACCGGAAGTGATGTATTGTGACGTTTACACTACACGTGTATAAGCATGGCACAAGCAAAATAGTGAAGAAATCCAGTTGAATTACTTACTAAAGCTCAGGTCTACGACTATATAAAAGTTGCAATCGATATTCTAGTTCTAAAAAGTGAAGATCTACTATTACAAGAAAGAATGCACTGTGCTAAGTACCAAAAAATTATTATTTAAATTATTATCATTATAATGATTATTCTATTCTTCAGTGACCCAATAGATTGATTATTATTATGAGTCCTTCAACAAATTTTAACTATAAAAATAGCAATAAAAACATTGACAACAATTATTATAAGCCGCACTTACTGTATCACCATACAGTACATACTGTAATGTACATCACCTCTATCTTGATAGTTCTCTGTGGTAGCATAAATATAAAGCTTTACAATCATGTAACAATGTCTCATCAATGCCACTGAAATCCTGCTTGTGTTTCTTGGTAAATAACCTATTCTTTCACTATTCAGTTCTCACTAAAAATTAAACCACACCCTTTGAAACACTTGCAAAAAATATATAGTCAACCGGGGCTATTCCGACATGTTTGGTGGCTAAGTAGTTCATTAATTATTCATAGCATTATTACCACCCTCCTGCTCAACTTACCAATTTTTTGACTCCATTTTAAAAACTTTCTATCTATTTGGGAACTTATCTTCAAATTTTGTAACATTTTTATTCATTTTTGCTATTTTTAAAACATTTTTTGAATGTCACGTGTCACGGGGCTATTCCGATACAGCTGGGGCTATTTCGACATAGACGTATACGGCGATATACGGTGAAAATTACGGCGAAAAGCTTAGTTTACGGATTAAACTTTGAAATGGTGACATAGTAAACAAAGTGATTAAATGCTGGATAACTTGGATTATATGAATGGAACTAC